GCGTGTAAATTATTTGTAAAGCGTGATGCTTTCATGCTGAGTCCAAGCGGTGAACCCCCGAAATGGATCGAATATTACTAAAAGATTGACTAAAAGATAATCCCTCACGGAATGAAACTTGTAGTATAGAAAACATACCTTAAAGTATCCAAACTAATATGCTGAGCCATGACAGTACTGAGTCGGTATCACTGAGTCGAGCTCCATGCCCTTATTGAGCCATGCCCTTACTGAGCCATGCCCTTAGTGAGCCATGATCTTACCGAAGCGTAGTCTTGGTTTACTAAAAATAGCCCACGAAGCAGTCTCTATCCAGTCTGATCGGTCTATGTCGAATCCTCGCTTTCGGTTGGAATGATGCTACTTTTAGATTGCGCGATTGTATCTAAGCAATCGTCGTGCTGAGCTTTGAAGTAGGTTGAACATACAACCACACTCTTCTCGATACCAGTCCGCAAGCATGTGTCCTGTCGTCTGGATCTCCCCAACAACTCCTTCTCGTCGTGGGAGTAAATGGAGAAGTTCTTTCGAGACTCTTCGGTCCCACATATTTGGTCGTCACAGACCTGCCGGCCACGACAGCTGTGAATCGCTTCTAGAGCCACCAATGCTCTTGGTAACACAGTACGGGCAGACACAAATGAGTATGAGCTTCGAAAGTGAGGTCACTCCGACCGTCTTGCACTCTTGACGTTGCGATAAGAACGGGTAGCATCCTTGGCATGACTATCTCTATCTTTTACATGAAGCTGTCATCTGCCCCTCGACTTAGCGACTGCTCACGAACATTCGACCTCAATGTAGATAAGTCAGATGCATCCGACTTGCCATTCCGATCGTGCTGTCTCAAGGGACTGTTCTGCCGTGTTGGAGCGTAGTATGCCTTGCTGATAACGGAACTGATCCTCGACGTGCTTGGCGCTCCAGAAGTCGTGCAGCAAGTACCCCTGCGTGTGCAGATTGCCTGGGTCCGTCCTTCGGTCTTTCCAGCGAACCCGATACAATAGGTTATTCTGGAGCTGGAGCAAACGTAAAATTTCATCATGGATAAGTCGAGCTCCTGGCACATCCCTCGAAAGGGATATCATATGATCTTGCATCTTCTTCTCATGATCCCAATGTGATTTCAGCTCTGGCTTCCATTGACCCGAGTCCATTTGTTGTCTAAAATGTTGCAAATTTCTGTCGACACGTGCCTGTCCTTGTGCTATTATCCTGTCGCAAAAACAGATCATGAAACGGAGATGTTCGTGGTTTTCGAAGATAGTCTTCAGTAGTGATTTGATAGCTGTAGGGTTGTTAATAGCATTGGAGATGATTACGTTTGTAGAGGGTGTTTGGTTTGAAGGAATGTGAGATGATTGCTCTGAGGCTAAGAAGTTTGAAGATGGTGCCAACGAGTTCGGCGGTTCATTCCCTGGCATCACCGCATACGGTTCTAATCCAGGCTGTGGACAGTACTGATCCGTTCCTATCATGAAGCTCCCATTGGTCGGCGGTGCAATCGAATCGAAACAGATGTTTATTATGTCAATGTCTTTTATTCTCATAGAACAATCGCAACAAGTTTGCACCAAGATGTCCCTCTTCACACAAGATAGAGTAGAACGATTCATAGCGTCCAATCTTGGTGAAATGTGCACCGTGATACAACGCCACCATATCCTGCAGCTCAGGATAATTCTCACTAAACGCAAATCGAGTTAACGCTAAAATATCTTGGTAACGCCTTTGGTCCAGGGTAAAGACTGAAAGAGTCTTATGCAGCTTTTGAAGACTGAGACTGATAAGACTGTCCACCATCTTCTCTTTGGCGAATGCGTAGAGCCGCGCATGGGCAAGGAAGACGTACTCTGCTTTTTCTGCGCCGGCACTATGAGGAGCAACACGAAATGATTGGCGATAATCCTCATACGGAGTAGTGGCACAATATACTCTTCTCTCAAAATCTGGTCTTCTGACATGAAAGTCCTGCTCTCCAACCACTGGTTGATATGAAGCAGCGGTCGCTTCATCCGCGTACTTCGTCTTTCTCTTCCCCTTGCCCATCTTGGACGTAGGTATATCCCAATCCCACTGTGAATTCGGTTTGTTTTGGTATGCTTCATCCTGTACCTCATTCATTGCTTCTTCAGCCGTATCCACAGGCGTGGTTTGTAGCTCTTCGGTCCAGTCATCGTCGACGACGTATGGCGGTGCTGCATAATCGCCAGTATATGCGAATGTGCAGAAGCGACTAAAGTCATCCGGGTTGATTTGTGGCAGAAGGACCGTTTTCTCCTCAGCCTCCTTGAACGCCGAATTATCGCCAAAAAGTCTTTTGAAATAATCAGACAACGGAGCAAGGATACCATAATGTACAACCATGGGGACCTCCTCTCTGCCGACAAGAAATGTGACTTTTCGATGAATACGGCAAATGTGGAGTCTGTTCTAGAGAGTCTCTGATGGAATCAACTGAGAACGGGTTTTTGCTCCTGCGGCGAGATTGGAGCAGAGTCACAAGGCGTCAAATTGATAGAAGGCTGTCCATGCATGCCAGCGTGTCAAAATGTGCGTCGCCCAGAACTCGCTTACCAGCTCTTTTGGACCCCTTAGTGTGGCCACTCTGTGCAACATATGCTCAACGCCATGTTAAGCTCAAATCTTCCGAGTCTAAGCAAAAATTCAGTCTGGTTTTGGCGTTCTAGAGTGATGGACAGAATAATGATATCAAATAGACTTTACAGACCCAGAAGTAAGAGTATCGTCATATTCCTCCGGCTCGTCTTAAGATCTTTCTTATCTGTATATGTGGATTCCATAAGGATAAGTACCTAATTGCACCGATTTGAGTAAGCTATTACTAAAGCTAACGTGATCTAATTAAACAGAATAGAGCAATAAGTCTACACCGCAACAGTAAGTACAGACCAAGAAAATCCCCCCCCCAGAGACCAGATCTAGAGTTATCTTCTGGCTTTGAATATAAATTAATGTTATCATAAGATATATAGGGACCATGTCTGACACGGACTAATCCTTGGAAGTTAGAGTGCCTAAGGCAGATAAGCAAGCTAGTACACAATAGCAAGCGGGGTGATTCGGCTCCAGCTTCAGACCCATTATCAAGCCGTCTTAGTTCTAGTGGCACGGCCCAAGTTGTCCAAGACCTTTGCAAACATGGTTCTCATTGTTGAAATTCGTCTCACGAGCGTACCGAACTACCTTTAGAAGACAAAGCCTCTATCCGGTGCGGTTCGGCCACCCGCCATGTACCATCTTGGACCCCATGAAGCCATAAACCCTATAGCGCCACAGGTGCCCCATAAGGCCCCTAAATGGCTTCCTAGCGCTCACGTCTTTAGAGGGTGGTGTAGCGTATCCCTTAATCGGGATGGCGGGTCTTAAAGGGGATTTTAGCGGGTCTGAGGGCGCCTTTTGGGGGCTCTGGTTGGCAGATGTGGCGCTATAGGGTCTGTGGCTCCATAGGGTCCAGGACTGTATCTATGCCACGTGTGGCTAAGCTGCTTGGCCTTGCCCCATGCCGCTTACTCACCTACTAGCTGTAAGGCAACACAACTCTAAACATCCACCTAAGCTCAGCCTAATAAATAATCATAGGCAACTCTAATAGGTGGGAGTAGAGATTACACTCTGCTAAGCGCAATGCTCTTTGTCCTCAACAATAACCACGGGAGCTTCTACCTGGTAACCTTCACTGACGGTAATATCCCTCCGTACGCCATTCTCTCGCACACGTAGGGACGTGCCGAAGATAATAAGGTCACGTACATGGATATAGTAGGAGGCACTAGTAAGAACAAAGGTGGGATTCGAGAAGCTACAGTTCTGCAGCAAGCAGGTCAGAGAACATGGCCTCGACCACTTCTAAATCGATACCTGCTGCATTAACAAGTCAAGCAGCAGCGAGCTCGCCGAGGCGATCAACTCAATATTTCGCTAGTACCAGCGAGCAGAACGATAATAAGTCTACCTCATAGATGTGTCAGTACGCACCCACGATGGCCAGCTTCCCCATGCGGAGTGGGCATCAGCGCTTCGCAACAGCCGATGGTTCACGCGAGGATGGACAGTTAACTAGCAGCTCTTCGAATGAGGCCGTTTATATTTTCGCCACTGAATGCAATTCTCACTTGACTGGATGAACTAAAACCTGCTTCATTTGCCTCGGTATTTTTAATTTTGTATAAAGTCACTATTCCCCATCTGTGTCCTCCAGCCTGCAGCTCGACCGCGACTTTAAGCTGCCAGAGTAAAATCAAAATTCAATATGACCGTATCCTGGATCACACCGTGAAATTTTGGGTTTTGCAGTCAGACTGGTCGCATAGAACCTGAGCTCTCGTTAGCAGAATCTATTATAAATTTCGACCATATTGTGAGTTACTTTGACCGGTTCAGGACTTGGAGAGAAGAAATCCGTAGCAGCCATTGCATACTTTTGCGCGAGCTTTCCTATCTACCGCAACAAGCTTCGCCTTCTTGCTTTTAGTGCACCGCTCACATGTAAACGCAGTGGCAGCGCTAAGTCGGTACAGCTTCAATGTACTATTTAAAGGATAATCCTTCACCACTGTACAATCAGGCGGTAGAATGTCTTTATCGCAATCTTCGAAATTAGAACTGTTCGCGTTTTGCATCTTTACAAAGGTCAGTAATGGGCAATATAGCGGACACTTATTAACCTAGCGGGCAGTCATGACACGTACATTTAGACGTGGAGGAGACTTCGTGGGGAAAATGTACCAAGGAAAATTTCCGTATTGATAGTTCATAGCCGCATAACCATATATACAAAGCTTGCGCTTTAGCGGCTTCTACAAAGAGGCGGTCAGTTTAGGGCCTATGCCGCGGACAACCAAGTCTGCAGCCAGTATAAGGCGCTAGCGATACTCGAAGGTGGAAGACCTATCAGCCTATAGGAAACAGTACCATTTAAGACTTGATTTCGGAACTCCGATCTAACGTTACATTTTAGGTATCCATGGATGGAAGACAATTCTTTTTTTCTGCAAACCCTTACCGCCGTTCACAGTGCACAGCTTTCGTATGGTTGGCTAGATAGCGCTATTCTTATCTTCTGCAACATGCCTAGCAGTGAAAATTCCCATTACAAGCAGCGGCAACTATTAAATCACGAGCCCTGGTACGAACAACCAGGCTGGTATATGTTCTCCTGAATTAGCACTTTCCACTGGCAGCAAATTGCATACCCACCTATTATCTCTGTATCCCAAATTATTCGGGGTGGGTCAGGGTGAATGAACAAACCAAGCCAAACTACCGCATTGTACCATGTTGTAATCGAGTCAAAGGAGAGTCTAGCTGCCAATATATATGCACGTCGAGATCCTGGATCCATGGTATGGCTTGGATCAGAGCGCTACTACCCTAGTCGTAGCTAAACTTTTAGTGTTGCCGAGCATTGATCAAGAATAGGCATCGAACTCCAGCACGTCTTGCAGTTACCCCACCACAAGACCAAGAGGCCCTAGCTGCCGTACTTAGCCCGTCACGGTGAGACCCTTGTCTTAGATTAGGTGTCGCTCCTTCTCCATTCCTTTCTACAGAATTACTTCGTCCCTTTTCCAAAATTACCGCGGTACCTTCAACGAAACCCTGATGACTCCAACAACACGTAGAGTTGGCCAGTATGTATGATATTCGCTACTTCGGCTGGTTGCTTACTCTATGCAAGCTTGATGGCAAGCGCACCAGTCAAATGCATCGTAAGCAGCGCACGGGTGCCGTATTACGTTCACACAGACGTGCTGTCAACAGCGAAAGGATCTACCATGGATGTCCGTCTCAATGGTTCTTGGAAACAAGATGGTGAAGAATACCTGGATTGGACGGATTTTGATTTGGATACTGTTCAATGCGTGCTCAATTACCTCTACACTGGCGATTATCACTGTGCAAACATTGCCTGCAACAAGGATATTGGAATAGATGATTCGGATATTGCTGCTACCCCCGAGGTCGATCTGGGTAAAGATTACATGAACATTCGGTTGAGCAAGCTTAGTGCTAATCATCTAGATAACCGGCCCCTGACCCACCAAAACATTTGTCTTCCTCTAGCCGATCGTCCTCTAACTCCGCTAAGCCAATGCCTTAGTCTTGGACTGCCGGAAGAACGCATGACGACTTTTGCTGGAACCCTATCTAGCAAAGATGCTGAACTTCGTGGTTACGGTAAAAATGGCCAAGCAGTATTGACACATGCAAAGGTGTATGTGTTTGCACATCAGACGTTGTTTTCAGAACTAGCACAATTTGCCTTGCAACGTCTCACTCAAGTTCTGGTTCTAGTAGATGCCGAAGACAACAGCCTGTTCCCTGGCCTTTCAGATGCAATTCGTCACATATATAGTAGGACACCGGGACAAGACCTGTCGAGTCTACCAAGGGATCCAGGCAGAAACATCATATCTCAATTCGTGGCACTCAATTATCCTGATCTTACTGGAGATAACCTATTTGAGCTGATCTGTGAGGGAGGAGACTTCATGGCTGATGTTTCCCATAAACTAGTCCGACAAATTCGTGCGGGTTGTAATTTTCACGATTCCTTGCAAGACCAAATCGATCGATTGCGCACGGATTTGATTTCACTGCAAGTCAAGTATGATGATAAAGACGGAGAATTGAGAGAGGCTAAAGAGAAAATTAATGGCCTGGAAGCATCAAGCAGGGGATTTTCTAAAAAGAAGAAAAAAAGCCGAACTTACGGGATTTGAGAGTACAAAAATTGCATGCATTGCAATTCGCTTCGCAGGAGTTGTTATCGACCACTGCGAAAGCATATGTATGAATTTACAGTGCTTCAGGCACTATCATACTACTACTCCGACGAGGATGGCAGTGCACACTATGCAAAATACAGTTCTGGTAAATAAAGCTGAGGGACTTTATTGATAATGTCTCAATACATAAGTAGAACATGCCCCTTTTACACAGAGTGCATAGTCATCCGCAACTTAATGGCTGCAACTCTTGTTACTGAATTTTTAGCTGTGATCCGATCTTACTTCGTAACTATGCCTCATTCACTTCTACTCACATAGCCCCATGAAGTTCTCTAATAGCCCTTCGCTTCTCACCCACAAATTTACATACTCCATTCACATCAGACTTGGACTTAATATCGCACAGTCGCTTTCTCTTCCGGTTTGGAGATAAAACACCCAGCACTGGCCGCATCGGTGGCAACTGCGCTCTCTCAAAATCGATGACCAACACCTGCTGGGTCTCGGCGCTCCACAGCAGGTTCCGCGGCATGGGATCCTTGTGCAATACTGCCAGATTGTGGATCGCTGTAAAGGCACACTCTGTCTGCTGTGATAGCAAGGCTCTATTTTTTGGGGTGATATACTTTGCAATGGGTCTACCACCATGACTCATGAACATTATGTGAACGAGCTCAGCAATGCCATCGTAATAGTATGGACGTGGCAGGTCAATATTTCCAAGATGTACTGGCACAGACTGTCCCTGAATAGGGCGTAACCGCTCATACACATCAGCTTCGTGCCGAAGGTGTTGTACGAAACACGCAGGAGTCCCTTTCGCGGCAACAGTGTATCCATGCGACGACAAGCGGACGCGGAAGAGTACACCACGGGATCCATGCACTCGCAAACACTCCACATCGTGGTCCATATCGTTCGCTAGCTGTTCTTGCATGAGCTGGAGAAACGTGGCCCGATCGATCTGGTGCTTGAGCGTACCATGATCTTGAAAGTTCGGGCAGGCTCGGTCCAGAGGTCCGCCATCCAGCAAGCCTCGAAGACAGCCCTGTGTGCAGTACGATCTTTTCTGACCTTCTGCATCAGAGGCTGCAGCACGTCCAACGGACCGTTTCGTCGGGTTCTTCGTTTTCGTCTTTGGGTTTCGAGGCATAGGTCGCTGAGTCGATCGTGAAGGCGTGTCTGGGTCAGACTCGCTATCACTACTGCTCCTTTCCTTGCGTGGGGAACAGTTCGGCGAAGGCTTCCGCCGTCGAAGTTGGATGGGTGTATCGCGAAAATATGGGATGTCCGACCGGGGTCTGTAATCGGATGTATCTCTTTCAGGAGTTGGAAGCTCTTCGAGCAACTCATTGTATTCAACCTGCCAAGTCTTCAGCTGAGCCAGGGCCCTGTCCCTCCACTGTTGGGCCCGAGGTCTGCCACGCATCGCGAGAAGAGTGAACGCAAGCATTTGGCCCACGGCAGTCAGATGCAAGCGGTTGGTTTGATTCAGCCCGGGAGTCCATCCGGTATCCGGTCCCACATCCCCATTTGGTACTGAGAGAAAATAGTACACGGTGCGAGGATCTTCGCCAACACGCAAAAATATGTAGGCTTCACCAGTACACACCACACCATACTCCAGTCCTGCTTTCACCATGTAGGAGAATGGCTGTGTGATGACAGCTGCAATCAGACGGCGATACTTTGTCTTCATATCTTCGTCATCGCGCACCTGCACAATTGTGTCTATGTCCATCTCTTTTAAACCCTCGTAAATAGTACCGGGAGAAAGCTTGTGGGGGGCTTTGTATTCGATGAGGAAGGCTGGGATGCGTTGAGGTGCGTCTTGCGAGTCATCCGACACACTGTAGACACAGAACTGGTCTGCACGAGGACGCGACGACTTGGTAGCATTGTCAGGTAGCGCGATAGTGGCAGATTCTGAGCGCTGCGCGATCTCGCGTTCCTGCAAACGTGGCGACCGTCGCCGGCCGCGTGATATGCTCAACTGCTGTACACCATCCTGAATTGCGCTTTCGGGGCTCAGGGTGTTGCCATGATTTTCAAATCTGACAGAGCCCTTCAGTCCAAGTTTCTCGCGAAGTGCGGTATCGTCGAATAGCATGGTGATAACAGCAGAGACGGGGTCTTCGACAGTGGTACGTTGGAAGTAGTTAAGATCCATCTCCGAGCCCAGTAGCCTCTTGCTAACATTTTCGCCCGTCTCTTGCATATATTGTATCGATGAGAACTGCCGCCTAGTCACGAAATTAGACTCCATCAAGTCTGCCCAGATAGCTTCCTGCGGTTCCCCGAAGTCTTCCCAAGCGCGAATGTAATCGGGACGAGGTTTACGGTCCGCATTGCTCGGATCGCCTTGAGTAGACTGCGTAGCGTCGGTTTGGACAGTGAGACCAAGGGAGAGGTGATGGTGACAGTGGTGGAGGAATTCAGGCAGTGATGTTTTGCGGGTTTGTTCTTCGGCATCTCTACGAGCGTGTTCTGCTTCATTTCGAGCGCTCTCCGCATCTTCCCGTCGACGTTGTTCTTCCTTCTGAGCGTGTTCTGCCTCTTTCTGTACGCGTTGTGCCTCTTTCTGTGCGCGTTCTGCCTCCTCACGTCGGCGCTGCTCCTCTTCACGTCGAATTTTTTCCTCGTGATAAAGCTTCTCGTAATCGGTCGGCTGTTTCGACATAGCGATAAAGGATGAACATAAAACGCACAAGCAGGGCGTGGTCTGCGTTCGAGAGAATCCAGGACATTAGTATCGTTACGTAATCAACCCTGACTAAGCTCTCCCCGTTAAAGATCACTAGAACCCAGAGAAGCAGTGAAAACACGACAACAGCGAGAACCGAAATTTTTGGAATTCAGTCGATCAAACGTACGCATATACCTTCTCATTAGGCTACTTGACTTGCTGTGAGCCAGGCGCATCGCCCAGTGCGACCCGGACACCATGGCAGCCGCGTGGCCTCAAGTGATGGTGTGGCCCACCGCGCTCCGCGAGCACGCAACTCATCTCAGCAAGCACCTGCGAGACATCCTCCTCAACATCGAACGCTCGCAGGATCAACCAGTGCCCTCCGATCAGGTCAAAAATATCAT